CCACACAGAGGTTTTTAATGCGCGTTGGCACACTTCAAACCCACACCCATAGAGCACTTTCACACGTGCTCCGCCCGGGGGGGTGGGAGGCACTTTAATAAGAGTGGCTCTGAGAGTCGCTCAAATTAAAGTGCCACCGTATCTCATGTATCTGCATCCCTGCGCTTCAAAATGGCAGCAGGTGCACTTGCACTAAAGCTCATTCAACAAACTTCAGATAAAGCACCCCCATCACCATTTTGAAGCCGATACACGAGACACAGAGGCTGACTTGAGCAAGATAATTACCATGCTCCAGTAGACTCGATTAATCGAGTTTGCTCTGGCCCACTGTAATTACAGCACATCAGAGCAGCCTCCCAGCATGTCTACAGGCACCCTTAGTTAACTGATTTAACTTCCCATGTAGACAGGCCTTTTGAGATTTTTATAGGGTTTTATTTTCCAGATCAGCGAACGCAACCCACTGCCGTTCTGGCAGAAACAATGGGTTGAGATGTGCCGCAGCTTTTTGTAGTTTTACACAAATCAAATACTCATAGCTTAAAGTTTTGCGCTTCACAGAGATTTTTCTCTCATCCAAGGTGTTGTAAATTGCCTTTAAAAATGAGCGAATTTTCTTTTTTAATGGGTATTTCCCATTCAAAAACCAGCTAAACTGATTTAACTGTTTTTTAAACAGAAAATTTGCATCTGGCCTGAGAACCTGAATGCCTAGTTTCAGTACAATTGAAATTAAAATGGACAAGCTTAAACCACTCATAGAGAAGATATGTAATAGAATAGCTGACAGATCGCTGATTATATCAGTGCTAGCAGGCACCATTATAATAGGCTGCTGTTTTAAGTCTGTTCTCTGGCAAGGGCTTTATCCGTCTGATATGTAAATTAAATGTAATTCTGGCAACCTTGGTGCACTCCAGAAAAGCAAAGATCTTCTAAGTAAGTATGTAAAGCAGCAAGAAATATGGATGAGCAGGATTTGGAGAGATATCCAAAGCACAAGGCTTACTATAACCTCAGAGGTGACCAGGTGGGGGGGTAAAAAATATGAAGCTTATATTCGAGAGGATGTGTCTTAAAAAGAAAATGAGTTCACTGCTTACGGAAGGATTTTAGGCTGCCTAAAACACCTTTAGAAGTTAAGACTCTATAGGGACCATGTAATTTAATGGATTTCAAATATTTTGTTGGGTCCAGGGAGACAAAGTACTGAACTGCTCTGCCTTATTAACTGAAGCCGGGATTTGTGGCTTTGAAGTGGAAATGAATGTCATTTGTTAAAAAAAAAAAAAAAAAAAATAATAAAACACACCTTGAGTTGGCAACTTGAAAGCTTGCTCTGAAAATGCAGGCACATCACTTTCTTTCTTTGCACTGGCATTATGGAGTGCATATATGAAAAAGCCTCAGACATTTAAGTTCAAACATTTATTACCTAATATTCTAAGCTCTGAATCCCACCACTTTTCTCCCGTTCTGACGCTTTGGTGCAACAGAAAAGTTGTACGGTAATAAGGAACTTGGTCTCGAAGAGGAAATGCTCAAGTGCTACCAATAATGGGTTGTAAGAACTCATAAAGTGATGGAGCCCAAGAGTGGAGCCCATGCCTATAGATCCCAAGGACGCTGCAAGGAGGGCAATGACTTGAGCAATCTCTCCCTGCTGGTAGCGCAGATCCTGGGAGAGAAATACGGTGAGTGACTTGCATACCGGCACAGTGTAAGCCCTGGAGGAACGACTGTTCCTTGGAGCAGCATGATTTCCATTGTGGATACCCATCGAGGCTGCTTCCTGAGCTCCATACTCCGATCATGTAATTTCTCTGATGCAGGGGAGTGCTGGATCTGCAGCTCTGAAAGGGTAAGAGCCACAGACTTGTTAACAGGAGGAGCAACAGTGGCAAGTGTCCTCTCTTTTATGGTTTGGGCACAGAGACTGCCCCCTTCTCCAGTCAGTCCTCTCCCACACGAGGAGAACGGGACTGAAACTCTCTCCCCCGCAGCCTGCATCATTTTTGAACAGAAAGTAACAATATTCTGTTCCTGTTCAACGTTTCTAGAAATCATTAGGTTCAGACAGCGGCGTAAACATTAAGAAAAATTACTCACAAGTGAGTTCAAATACATGAGTCAAGCATTCGCCTGTGTGAACGTAATAAAGAAACCACAGATGTATCATTTTTTAAAATTTTTGTGTAATATAGACACGCTTATCATGGTTTCCAGGGCAGCTGCCTCTTATTTTTTTTCCCTTTCCTCTACTTCCTTAACAACTCCTTTAACAACCCCAGAGCCTTTTCCCAAGAACAGCTCTTGCACATCCTCTTCCAGTTTTGCTTGTGTATCCAAAGTTTGGATAAAAGAAAAAATAAATCACAAAGTCTGGGATTGTTCAGAGCTAGGATTTGCTTCAAGCCTGTTGCTTAGTATTGACCACAACAACCTCAATGGCAGTGAGAAGGCCAGAGATGCGATTTTAGACAAGACCCCCTGCTCTTAACTTGAAAAGTCTGGTTTGAGGAGAACACCTTCTTTGAAACAACAAAAAAAAAATCATCCCTTTCCTAGCAATATCTGTCCTGCTTGAAGAAGGTGGAAGAACGCGTTTTGAGGAGAGGGCGAGTCCTTCCATGGTATTTTAAAGTCTTCAAAAGTGAGAACGAGCTTGGGATGCATTAGCGGTCCTAGCAGTCCACTAGGTTTCTTGCATTCCCACCATGTTTGTTCAGCTCGACTGGGACCACATCAGCTGATGCAGTCCAGAGGTCATCGTCTGATGGCAGGGGAAAGGATTCATGATTATGGAACAGAAAAGCCTTTATGTAAGAGTTTTAGAGGAAGAATTAATGGTATCAGGCAGGTTGATTGTTTCTCTTTTCTCTAAGTGAGAAAATGGCTGAGAACCACATTTGGGTTTTGAAAGACCTCTGATCCAGGTTCTCCACGGGGGTCTGACCCCGTGGGGTGAGATTAAAATAAAAAAAGTGTCTAGTTGCAGCTCTCCTCTTGCCAGAACTCAAAGGGGCGAGGTTTTCAGGAGAGCTCAGTGTCCAAAAGCTGCCCTTTTGGGACACGATTACCAGCCAAATTCTCCAAACAGCTCATTGAGGGTACTGCTAGATGCTCAAAATCTGCCCATTTGTTTTGGTGCCTGAGTATAAGCTGCATTTTTTTTTTGAACATCTGGCTCTAGTTGGGGGCTGAGAGCATCTTTGGAAATGTGCCCAAATATGTGCCAAGGGTATTTAGATTTGTAAGTGAGATGAATTTGTGAGCACAGTCTTTTGGATATAGCACAACAGTAAAGCATCTTTGAGCGACATTTTTTATTTCAAATATAGCATGTCCCATTCATCCTAGTGGTCGCTCTGTTGGCATCAGCAGAATAACCATGCGATAACGTACTATTCAGCTACTAAATGATGTTTGTTAAGGCCATATTGCACTCTGCAGATCAGTTCCTTAGTTTATAAAGCACTAAGACTTTCTTGACTCTGGCACTTTGAAGGTCATGTTTTGTGATGCTTCTTCATCGTCTCAGTCTCGCCAGCTTTGTCATAAAGCCATTTACAATAACAGCAATTCTGTTTTATGATAGTCTTTTCCATAACTAGTATTTCAAGCATATGCCAAAGAAACACAGTAAATACTAAAACAGTTCCCCAAATACCATGAAAAATAAGAAGGTTATCTCACATTTCCCTTCTTTAGCAATGGTTACAGGCTGAAGAAAAGAAGTACTTCCAGGCAATGAATTTCACAGCATGGGAGCATAATGAGAGAAAGCGTGGCCACCTAGTGCTTAATATCTGACTTTCAGCACAACAAAATGGCCCAAAATAGAGAATCTACATGCTTGTCCTGGGGTATAAACAAGAAAATGAATCAATGAAAACCAGTGTTTAAACCACAGAAAATGCTGTGCTAGGTTTGAATAGCAGTGCTGTTGTACGAGTAGTGCGATGCTTTCTGGAGCACTTTATAAGGACTGTTAACTCTATAGTCACAGTGGTTACAGTATGAAGGGAGATGGTTAGAAAATTATAAAGCAGGTGTCTGTAATGATGCTATTGATCAGGGCTGTGAGTGACAGCCCAGCCAAGCATTGATCTCATGCTGGGATTTGCTCATTGGATTCAAGAACGATGTGACGCAGTAATTGATTTCCTGAGGACTTATTGAAGTGTTGAGTCCTACTTTTTTTTTCTGAAATCCTGACTGGTTGTTACATGGATTTAGACATGTCCAGGGTACCCACAACAGTTTGTCTGTGCATGTGTGTGTGTGTGTGTGTGTGTGTGTGTGTGTGTGTAGGAGAGGCAAGGATTTAGAGTGATATATTTTTCAGGCTCTTTACATGTGCACAAAAGTAAAGCATTATTTAGGCAGGGGATCTTGAATGCATTGTGCCTAGCAGACAAAGCTACTGCCATATTGCCACAAAGGCTCTAGTTACTATCTGCACTCCTTCTAGGGCTGATCAGCAGCCTGGGGTATTTGTACAGGGATGGGTACCACTGGCTCCACTCGGAAATGTTTCCTCCTGTTTTTCTTAGGCAGCTCCAGGATTTGAAATAATAGCTGTAGAATAAACCTAGCAATAGATCTCCTAGAACTTCAACACTGATGGACAAGTCTCAAAAGTTGGGAGTTTCCACTTGGGAAAGAAGCCAAAAAAATCTGATGATAGATCTAGGCTGCCCAAAAAAGAGTGCCTTTTAACATGTGCATTATCAAATTGTCAGCTGACCCCAGCGCTCTTTCCTGCCCAGGTTATCCCACATCTAATAGGTCCCTTCCGACCCTGAAATCTATGAAAATTGTCATTAAGTTTTCCAGTTTAGACCTACAAAATGCCTTTGGCCTATTTCTTCTTGTGCTGGCAGATGATGATGAAATCACTAATATTATATAGGCATAGGAAGAAGCTTTCAAGGTACTTAAATGAGCGTGATGGTAAGAGGTAGATAAATAAATCCACCTACTCAACTTTGCAGGCCTACCCGGGACAGTGACGATGAAGAGGATGACGAACGGAAGGGAAGAGGCTGTACTCTTCAGTACCAGCATGCGATGGTGAGAGTCCTCACACAGTTTGTAGCTGAATCCTCTGACTTTGGAGGCCAGCTGACCTACATGCTTGGCTCCGAATGGCAGTTCGACATCACAGATCTCGTGACTGATTTCATGAAGGTGGAAGAACCTAAGATTGCTAAGTTACAGGATGGCCGGGTTCTGGTTGGTCGTGAGCATGGGATAACCACAGTTCAGGTACAGCTTTAAAATATATCTGTATATTTAGGGGCCTGACATGGGCACACGAGGGCCAGATGGAGTTGGTGTGGGCCCCAACCCTGCAGCATGGGGCCCTGGGAGGTAGTGCAGGGCTCCCAGAAGCAGCATGGGGCTCCTGGAGGTGACATGGGGCTGACAGAGGCAGTGTGGGGCTGAAGGAGGTGGCATGGTGCCTGATCCTGGATCATGGGGGCCAATCTGGCTTGCAGACTGGCCCTGAGCCACTCATTTGGTCCACGCCAACAGACGGTTGAGTGCCACTGGTCTAGATTTAGGAAAGTATTTAGACACATTAAGAGGCAGACAGGTATTAGGTTAAGAGTAAATATGCCCTAGTTGTGATAAAAGACTATTTTTGGAGACAAGCATTAATTGAACATACAAAGAAATTTGAATAGATTCTGGTTTCTGTTGTCATGGTTCTTAGTTATAGCAACACAGGGAAGTTGGGGTGAGATTTGCAAAGGGATTTATTTGCCACAAGAGGCAGATGGGAATTTTCAAAAATACCTACGCCTACTTATTTTTGAGAGCTATAGTGGGAAAGTACTTAACCTGTTTAAAAAGCCAACTGTGTGCCTATCTGCATCGAGAGGTGCCTAAATTTAAATATGTGGTTTCTTGTGTTCCAAACCTGCTTTAAGTAAAACTGTTTTCATGACATTAATAATGAATCTTGAACTGTTTCTTAATGGAGGTTGTGTATGTAATGCAGCCTTACACACAAGGCACATGTCTTGGACCTAAATCAAGGGACAGTGGACATTTTGGGCCTAATGCTGCACAGGAAAGACTCCTATTGCTATAGTGGGCATTAGTAGCAAGGTTTCTAGTCTGGGTAGGGGGTGCTCAACTGCCAGCCCATGGGCCACATTTGGCCTGCGGGGATCTCCACGGGTCTGTAAATTTGGTAGCCAGGGAGTGGTGGCATTAGTTAACACTCCTCCGCTGCCAGATTTCTGGACCCATATAGAACCCTGTGGGCCAGACAGCACGCTGGATTGGTGTGCGGAGGTAACCCGGTGAAACATTTTATGGCAATTTTTGTAAATCTAGTAATTTGACAGCAAAATGAACGTAACAGTTTTTGGGGAAACCATTATAGCTTACAAATGAATGTGGCAGACATAAGATTGACTCAATCAGGAGTGTTGCAGCGATGAAAGAGTATGATCTTGTTGTGCAAGAGTGCATCCTGTGCTGTTTAACACAAGAATACTTGCTTGCTTTTTGAAGGTTTTGTCGCCGCTCTCTGATTCCATCTTGGCTGAGAAGACCGTGATAGTACTAGATGACCGGGTAACAATTACAGACCTAGGGGTGCAGCTAGTTGCAGGCTTGTCCCTATCTTTACAAATAAGCAAAGGAAATAAGAGAGCTATTGTTTCCACAGCCTCCGCTTACGATATTCTTCATGCCCCAAAACAGGTATGGATCGAGACAGTATTGCCATTTTATAACCGATTGATTTGTTTGCTGTGTTTGCCAGATCACAGGGGAAAGCTATATCCTATAGAGTTATTCAGCATGCATAAGGTGAAAGCAATGCATTTCATGTACCTGAAGACACAGCTTCCTACAGCAGCTCACTCATCCAGGTCTGCTCCTGCCCAGATACCTTTACAGCATGGCCGTGCGTTTAGCACTTGAGTCCTGGCCATACACATTGCTGATAGCACCATATAGGCAACTGGCTGAGCACGTACCTCTTCTTAGCGGATCACACCTTGTGGGAAAGTGGTGTGTGTCACTGTAGTTACCATGTGTGCATGCTCCTAGGGTAAGTCAATGTGGACTGTAAGGATCTTGATCAACTATTGAGGTGGGGATAGGTTCCCTGTTCCTATACCCTCTTCCCACATGAGTATCAATATAGCCAAGCAAAGCTCTTACCCCTCTCTATGAAAATTACACATATTTGCCCCGCTGAACTTCTCCCCTCAGTGGTTTTGTATCTAATATAGAATTGCTCCCTGCAGCCCTGAGGCTCAGCCTTGTGTGAGTTCAGAAGGATTAGGCCAATAAGTGTATTCACCGCATCTAGTTTGTACTGTGTTTAAAAGAATCTAGACATTACAGATTTTCCACTTACCCCTCCTGTTTTTACCATAAAAGTAGACAACATCCTAAATGGGGTTGGGCATATTTCGGTGACAGCATGGCAGAATCAGAAAGAAGCAGATAAATGCTTTGAATAATATGTAAAAAAAAAAAAAACCAACCCTTATGTTCTGACATTTCATTACCAGTATCAGTATGCAACTGCTTTTTAGCACAGGTAATAGTCAATGAAGGACAAAAAATGGGTTTGGTCAAACATTGCTCAAAAGCTAAATAGCAGCACATTTTTATAAAAAGAGTGTGATTTCTTTTATGTCTAAAATGAACCATCATGTTTATACACTTCACATAACCTTGTGCATTTGGAAATACTTTAGTAGAGAATGTAAAATACTTCATTCAATTCTCGCTCATAATATAATCTGTTTAAATGGGCTGAGCAGGATTAACCTCCTGACCAATGACACCTAGAATTTATGCAGGCCTTTTATAAAGAGAAGTAGCATGTCAAAGTGTTCCTTACCTTTATGTCATTTTCCTAAGTTAATTAAATGCTAGGAATCTGATTATCTTCATCAGTGGGCTTTGGTTTTAGAATATTAAATTCTTATTTTGTACCAGAAAGAAGAGCAAGAATGGTTTTGCACTTAGAGTTAGATGGTTCCTTGTTTGCACTCCCAAATATAAGCAATGTCTAAGGGGTGTACAAGACGCAGAATTGCAAGTCTAAAAACAAAAAGCTGACTTGAAACTTTTTGGAAAACAAACAAAACCAAACTATGGCCATACTCTGTATTCATATCACTAGTGTCAAGCAAACTTAAGCTACCAAAAATGTATAATGCGGTATTGTAACTTCCATACTGTTTTTCTCCCCCTCCTCCATAGGAAGCCATAGTCAGTGCCTGGATTTTGTTCAGTGATGGCTCTGTGACGCCTTTAGACATTTATGACTCCAAGGATTTTTCTATCACAGTCACTTCACTGGATGAGATGGTAGTATCTGCCCAGCAAAACCTTCAGTCTAGATGGCCTGGGGTAGTTGCAGAGGGTGACGGGCAAGGACCCCTAATTAAAATTGAAATGGTGATCAGTGAGCCCTGTCAGAAGACCAAGCGAAAGAGCATTTTGGCTGTGGGGAAAGGAAGTGTCAAAGTGAAATTTGGGCAGAAAGATTCTGATCACAAAGGAAGCACTAATGACATTGATGACGTGGACAGAGATCTTAAAAACCACGTGAGCAATTCCATAGAAAAGACGGCAGAACAGGAGAGGACAGTGCAAGAATGGTCCAAAATTGGAGCTTCCATTAATCATGAAGACAATGTCAACAAAAGCGCAACTTCCAAATCTCCCATTGATCAGAAAAAAGGTCCCGAGGATGGCCAGCTCCTAAATAATCCAACCGTCTTCACAAATTTTCCTACACAAGTAGAGATCCCAGGGCAAAATAATCCCAATGACCTTACGTTGACTTCGAGAGGATTAACAGATTTGGAGATTGGCATGTATGCCCTGCTGTGCGTTTTCTGCCTAGCGATTTTGGTCTTTTTAATTAACTGCGTGGCTTTTGCTTGGAAGTACAGGCACAAAAGGTTTGCTGTGAGTGAGCAAGGCAACATCCCGCATTCTCATGATTGGGTCTGGCTTGGAAATGAGGTTGAACTTTTGGAAAACCCAGTTGACATTTCACTCCCATCAGAGGAATGCACTACGATGATTGACAGAGGAATGCAGTTTGAAGAAAGCAACTTTCTCCTTAATGGGAGCTCTCAGAAAAATCTTCACGCTCAGATCCTCAGATCATCCGACTATGCTTGTGAGAAAGAAGTTAAAAGTGAACCTATTCATCCTTCCGGGCCAAAACAGAAACGAGTTAAGTTCACTTCATATACCACAATCCTGCCGGAAGATGGAGGTCCCTACACCAATTCAATCCTATTTGACAGTGACGATAATATTAAATGGGTATGCCAAGATATGAATCTTGGCGATTCCAAGGAACTTAGGGACTATATGGAAAGACTGCAAGACAATATGTAAAACTACTTTCTTATGTTTGTAATCACCTTTATGCCTTCTGTTTCATGGATGGTGGAACAGTCAGTCCAGTCAGCAATAGGAAATAACCCAAGAGAGTCTAACCTGTGGAGGTCCTGAGATGATAACTTCATATCATTGAGCAGGTTCAGGAAGCTGGCTGAGTTAAATGCGTTTCACCATAAACCAGGATGTGCCCCTAAAACAGCTCCATGTAGGTGTTGGAGGTGTCGCACATGATGGCTGTTTTTGTATACTGCCTGGTACTAGCTAAATGCTAATACAACTACGCTCAGACTCAGAGGAGACTACCTTTGTTTGTCATCTCATGATAAGCAGTAATTCAGAGAACGAGGGATTTTTTTCTGTTGATTTTTTCTAGTCGTCGTCCTTTGTAAAGCACAGTGGATATTTCTTGCTTACAGCCTGAGACTAGGCGTACTTTAAAAGAAATCTAAAACAAATCTGTTTAATTGTACTGCCTACGTGCAAGGCAGCCAAGCAGTTTCATTACTTTTTACGGGAAGACCCACCCACACGTGGTTCATTCTTTTCCGTATTGTTTATGAAGTTGATTTGACTTAGGGAGCACTAAATATTTTCTTTGGGGACTTCCTTTTTTCTTTTCTTTTCGGTTGTACCAAAGTGTAGTACAGTATATTTACAATGATTCAGGTTTTCTACTCATTAGCATCAGCCCTGAAGGATACCTCCTTCATCACTGATTATCTTTCTCCTTCCCATGTGAGTCTTTAATATCAGAAACATAGAAAGGTATTAAGAAATCTTACACTGGGAAAGGGCTGTATCGTCTTACAGGGAACTGTACATACAATAATAAACCCTGGAAAACAAAACAAAAAAAAAATCAAGGAGTAGCCCTGGGTTTACTTTTGTCGTTGCCAACGTGAAAAATTACCGGCAGCAAAACCGAATACCTTTCAAAGAACAATGCCTCTGTTGAAATAGTAACATTTATAGAAGTTTTCACCCCCCACCCCCCCCCCCCCCCCCCCCCCGAAACGTGGTATTGAAATGCACAGAACAGGGAGCAAATTGTCTAGGAAATAACCAAAGGCTTGAAGTCTGTGTTACTGTATAGTAAAAAAAAAAAAAAAAGAATTGATGCTGCGGTTTAACGGGACGTAGCGCTCCATCTACAATTACTGGTGCCTCCTGGCCCCGTGTAAAACCCATCTCTAAACATAAGCCAGGTAACGAGAGAGCCTTTACATCAAGTTTGATTAAAAAAAGAAAAAGGAAAAAAAAACACAAAGCGGCTACTCCTAAACTTGACGAGAAAAACGTTAGGCTGGAGATTCAGAGCTGCCATTTCAAAAGCATTATAGGCATTTTCACATTGAAGTACGATTGAAATGTGTGGAAAATTACAACCTGGAAACCTTTCTGTATGAAATGTCTAAGAGAAGCAATAAAGTACGCTGCGTGAATCGGGAAAAGACAAAATAGGCACCTTGTCCAAACAGAACTTCCTCGCTGCCCCCCTCCCCCGTTCTCCTGGGGTTTAGGCAAATTTGCCGGAGTTTAAGCAAATTAAATTCGAGAGCTGGATCTGGCAACCTGAGCGTGTTTTTGTAGCTGTCCAAGACAGCCGGGGCTCTGGGGAAGTCTGTTCAGATCCTAATCCACATGATGAGTTGGGAACATCTCCAGTGCAAATACGACGGAGGAATGCTAATAATTAGCATGGAGGAGATAGTGTGGACACCACAGCTATTGAACTGACAACAGACTCCTGTTTGATGTCGCTGCATCACGTGGTAGAGGGGGTGCATACTGCAATCCAGTTTTAAACTGATAAGATAACAAAGAACATAATGGTACTTCAGTTTTATGAGAGAGATGGAACTGGCTGGGTCACACTAATGCTCAAGGTTTTTAATGATGTCTCTTCTTCTCTAATTTAACAGGGACGGATAGGGACGTCTTAATTGTTGCCAGTTACTGAAACATTTCTCCCCCCAGCTCACCGGATTCGTTCACATTGGGTTTAACTATAAGCAAAGCACAGCACCCATGGATATAAATTGACCAGGAGTACATTTATATTAGAAGTGGTAAGAAGGTTTTTAATAGTCAAGACAGTGTGGTTTGGGAACGATCTTACAATAGAAGTAGGAGAGGCAAAATAACCTAACTACCTTTAAGATGGAATTAATTAACTTTAACGATGGTATCATATAACCTGGTTGCTTGTGATCTGGGAGATCCTTCCCAGTCCTCTATGTTTTTCTATAACTACTTATCTACTTAAGCTCCATGCTTAAGCATGTCCTGATCTCCATCCTTACTTGGCAAAGCACTTAAGCTTATTTAAACCCAAAGGAATTTAAGTGCATGCTTAAGTGCTTTATTGAATCTCTGCCAATATGTTAACAATGGACATGAGTCAGTAGCTGTGCAGCTTATTCTGGAAAATTTCCCTTCTAGGAATGAGAAATATGAGAAAAAAAGTGAAATGGCAGTTTTCATGCATTTCACGTTAGCAGTCACTTCACTCTGAGGCGAAGGCTGCTGGAGTTAGAGCACATGTTTCCACGCTTCTGTTCCATTGTGTGCATATTTAATAGAAGCTATAAAGTTTATATGGGGGATATAAGAGCAGTAAACTTCTAGTTTAGCACAGATTTGTCTGGGTTGGCCAAAGCAAAGTCCCTTGTTGGCTCTGCTGTCTGTAGCGTGACTGGTTTGGGCTATCTGGAAGTCGTACACAGCAAGTCCATCCAGAAGTTAATGTCCACCAGTGACAATATACAGTTAAAAAGCTAAGAAACATAATTGCTATCTAATAGTAAAAAAAAGAAAAAGGCCTCAGCATTTAGCCTTCAACACCAATGCACTGAATATGGCCATGATGTGAAATACTCTGGAACTACTTATCATATACTAATATTGAATAAACTGAATTGTTGCATTAAAGTTCAGAAGTGACAGCAAGTAAAAATGCATAAAGCTACAGAATGAAAAACCAAGACAACAGCGAGAAAATGAGAATGTACATCTTCTGCTCTCATTTTATGCTTCTGTAACAGGTAAAAATAGTGGAGTTACTCTAGATCAACACTGGCCTAATAGGTTATCTGTTCCTACTTAGAAGAGCTAGGTGAAAATTTTAGGACAAGTAGTTTATTCAGGAAAAAGTAGTTCCAGATCAAGCAAATAGTTACAGCTGAAGAAAGCTAAAACATTCAAAGTAAAAATTTATAAATGCTTAATTTTGATGTTTTGAACAACATTTTTAAAACTTTTCAAAATGAAAATTTGAAACAAAAATTTCAAATGTTTCAATTTTATTTTATTTTTTTAAATGTGTGAAACAAAACAAAACAAAAAAAGAGAGCAGAATTAAACTTGTACCATGAAACTGAAATAATTTATTTGGGAAAAAGAGGGGAAAAAAGGTTTGGAAAAGAAGAAGAGATAATTTTTTAAGCTCTAACTTGGCCAGTACACGAAAAATTCAGCTGTTTGCACTGTTCTTTTTCTCTGTATTCTGCTCTACTGTTAAATGAACTATATTTGAAGACCAATAAAAAAAAAAATCTCAATTTTAATAGGATTATTAACCAAAAGAAGGGATCCTGTTAAAAGACAGATTGTCTATAAGCAGGAAACGTGAACTGATTGAGGAGACTTGCATTGTTATGCCTGTAAGAATTAAGCTTCAATAGCTGCAGAGAGGCAACACCCATGGCTTCATACAGAATAAGAAATATCCCAGAAAGGTATTTATGACTCTTACAGGACATACGTTTTGTGTAGGTTTCTTTGCACACTATCAAGGAAAGTACGCACGCATTAACTATACATAGCGCCGAGAAGGAAACTCATTAAGGGAGGATTCACATCATGTGTCGATTCTTGCAAACTTTATAAATTATAAAGAAAGGTAACACGAGACACTTGGCCCTTGTAAATCTGTGTGTGGTGGTTTATATCTTCTAAAGATCTGACCCACAGAGAGTATTAAGGGGATGAGTTCACTTCCAACTGTGCAGCATTATGATATTTCATTTGGACGTTATACAGCCCAAGTCTATATGGCTTTTCTAGGCACCCTTCTGATCCAAGGACGAATTTGGAAAACCAGTGCCCCTTACACTTCTCTATGTATAACAAAGCTAGATTAATATTAATGAGCTGCTCTTTCTTCATTCATATTGGGGAATGTACAAGAATACCTTAGAGCCATATGACTCTAATATGACATAATATAATGGAATATATCTGTATTTCAAGGGAGAGTACATTATGAACGGGTTACCAAATTTTCATAGGGAATATGCTCTTTTCTGAAATACATATTGTATGCACTACATTGAAATACACTATAGTGTATTGTGAAAGGCATACATTTACTGAATCGGCAACACTGAATATGTATATACATTACACCCAAAATATTTATACATATAGTAAGTCTTAGATGTATAACAGAATGAATACTGTACAAAATAAACTGTAAGTTAAGAGAATTAAAGAGGACTTTTATACCTGTGTAATTTGTATATTAAGTTATTCAAGCCTCAGTTTCTATTATGAAATATGTCATTTTAAAGCTGTTTCTATAGACAGAGCTCAGAAATAAAGACTGCAGTCTTTGGCAAGGCAGCAAACAAGTGAGAATTTGCAGGGCGTGAATACCAACATGTTGCTCACTTAAGTCTTAAATTTGAGTCTACCTATTTTAAACCTGAGAAAAACAAGGCGTGTTGCCTGAATGTGTACCATGTGATGGAGTATGCATTAACACTGCTTTGGCAAACCAGGAATATGTCAGTATTGGATTGCTTGAGCTCCCACTGCTTATGTTAGTGTGGGTTTTCAGGTTTTGATCCATGTGTTTCACACAGCTCTACATCTGATATGCCAGCCCAACTCACTGTTTCAGTAGTGCTGGACCATGGAGGACACTGAGATCATCTACAAGGAGCAAAGTACAATCAGTCCATGGATGCTGGGCGTGCACACAGCTTCCCTTGTTTTGGTAAGTACAGTGCTGCAGTTGTGCGAAGTACGTGTACTTTTAGGGAACACACAACACGTTAAAATACAGCCCGCGAGTTTCCCAGGACAAATCACCACAGGGCTGGGGTTTTATTTCTGCTACATTGTGATGAATCTAAAATCATCATTTTGGGTATTTACAGAATTTCTGCATTGCACCCACAGTGACGGTATCCAGTGCCTCAAAATTAAGTATGCCTTAATTAATTTGCCCATAAGAATTTACATAAGAAGTCTAGTAGAGCCAGAAATATAATTCAAGTCTCCTAAAACCGAGTCATTGTTAAACAGAAGACTGTTCCATCTCCTGTACGTAACACTGTATCGTCCAGTCCTCCTTACATTGGTAGGATAGGTTTGGTCCCCAGGGCTCAAACCATCCTTCAGTATTGCCAAGGGGTATACTGTTTTTTTTTCCTAATTAAGGCAATTTAATGCTGTTTGTATGATTAAAATGTGTTACTTTTACTTTTAAATCGTTAATCTCATGTATTGAAACAATCTCTTTTGCTGAACTGATGACTGGGCCTAGGATATAGGCTGGGACTTTCAAAGGGGCTTAGGAACACTGATTTTTAATTACCTTTTGGGCACATAACTCCCTTAAGTTGTCTTGGGAAATCACAGCAGTAGAAAGAAAGGACATATTCATTATTCATATTGCACTGAATGTTTAAATAAAAAAAAAAAAAAGCTTTCTTAGGGCTGTATTGTGACATGCTTATCTGAGTAGCTGTCTTACTAAGCAAATAGACCTCAGTGGGACAACTCATGTGCCAATAAAGATACTGGAATATGGGCATTTTTAGGCAGAAAAACAAGCTTGCTTCCATCTCCAAAAACTACAATTCTCCCTCGCACCCAAATATAGCCATACAATCAAATGATTAAATCTGCCTAAGTAAGCAAAGTTCAAAGATCTTTATGGA